AAGTGTTCTTACCAAGAGGGCCAGGTTCTGTGGGCTCCGTCTCCAATTTACTTTATTACTTTACTACATTTCAGAGGAGAAAACATCGATTTTTGACTTCACTCCGTTTATTTACCAACTATAGTTACTAGTTACTTTTCAAATTAAAGTTTTACACACAAAACAAATCATATTTTTTCAAACATTTTATAATATAATATAATATAATATAATATAATATATAAAATAGATTAAAAACAACCAAAAGTACATTGCAATACTATATGCCTACTAGTAGTATTGTATTGTACAATAACTACAACATTAAATAAATAAATATTCAAATAATACAATAAATATGAATACATCAACAATAACTATGACAGTACCAGCTCTGCATTGTGAGTACTTTTACTTTGATGGTACATTTTGATGCTAATACTTTTATAATACTATGTATTGTTACTTGAATACTTCTTCTACCACCGTTAGTTGACCTACATGGATACTAACATGTCATCATTTGTATTAGGAGCTAACAGCTTTATTTAGTACCTTTAACATTTAATACATTGTCTCTGTTAAATTCAGTCATTCATACAGTTTCATCATATTGCAACACAATCTTCTTTCATAAACTCTGATTAAAGTTTATTTAATGAATCTTGTATCTGTGGGTTTCTCTGTAAACAGCAGTTCACATATGTCTGTACAGTATCTTGTGTTTATTTTATTGGCATACTGGATATTTCTTTTCTCAGTTATGTGAATGTGTTTCATGATTATTATCATTTGGTTTTATGTCATTGATTAAATGTAACTTTTGTTGTTGTGTTTTATTTATTTTTTAGGTGAGCTAGGGTGACATAAAATCCACATTAATTCTGATATGACTGTTCACACTGCAAATAATTAGACCCATATCTGATGTGGACCACATATAAAAGAGACCTGAATCAGAACTGATTCAACAACACCATATCTCAATATGAGTATATTAGTAGTATAATAGTGAAGAGCTCTATTTAGATTATACATGTTTTACAGAAACACTGATATCTGCCTTTGTGAGTCCTAAAGTAAACTCAGTAACACTGCTGCTGGTTGAACTCACTTACAGCTCAGTCTCTGCACAACAGTGACATCTAGAGGACGCTAACTGTCTAACACTGTGGATGTTTCCTTACAGGAGCTGTATTATCAACACTGGTGATGGCAAATGATGATGGCAAAATGAAACAGCTGCAGGCATTTCAACTATTTATTGTCCATCAAAACAAAGACTGTGGTTGGTATGTTGGAAGATCTGAGGGAACATATACACTGTATGTCTGTAAAGCAGCTGCTAACTTGATAAGCAACAAGCTATAAAAATGTTTACACAAAATATAACGCCTAATTTTTTTAACTTCAATATGCAGCATCAAGTCTCCTACATGCACAAACATACACACTTAGAGTTGGAGATAAATACCTCTGTTATGATACATGTAAGACTCAGACACACACTCTCTCCCGCATTCATACTGTACATGTGCGTTTTGTGTAACACCAAGTCCTCCAACCACACACACACACACACACACATTTCTATTACAGTTGACTTCGCAGTCTGCAGAGTGTGGTGGTGGAGCTGACAGGTGTACTGGCCCTTCAGACCTCAATAAGCATTTTTTGAATCAATATATCATTTAATCATGGAGGGAAAAGTTGTACAAGAGGAAAACTAAGGTGTCAGACTGCAGCGGCCTTCTTCTCCTTGTACGTAGCCATCATCTTCTTGATCTCAGCTATCGCTTTTCCCGGGTTCAGACCCTAAGAGGAAGACAACACAGACGAGGAAAGAGCAGTGAGAATTATTTTGGAACATTTAGAGAACGGAGAGAAAGAAGCCCTCATGTGGTGTTGTGTGGCTGCAGGTGTGTGCTGACAGGTTACCTTTGGGCAGGACTTGGTGCAGTTCATGATCGTGTGGCAGCGGTAGAGGGAGAACGGATCCTGTAGCTTGGCCAGACGCTCCTCTGTGAACTCGTCTCGTGAGTCAATCATCCATCGATACGCCTGAGAGACGACAGGATGTAAACTCTTCATCTGTGTGGTTATGTTTTTTTTTTTAAGTCTAAAAGTTCATGAGCTCACACACACACACACACACACACACACACACCTGCATCAGCACCGCAGGGCCCAGGTACTTGTCTCCGTTCCACCAGTAGCTGGGGCAGCTCGTACTGCAGCAGGCGCACAGGATACATTCATACAGCCCGTCCTACAGGAGGAAATCAAGAGAGGTTTTTTTATTTTAATGTGACTCTGAGCACAAAAAAACTTCAAGGCTTTACCAAAATAAAAATCTGTGGTGTACCAGTTTCTGTCGGTCCTGCACAGACTGCAGGTACTGCTCCTTCCCCTCCTTTGACTCATCCTTCTTCTTCAGGTAGGGTTCGATAGACTTGTACTGGGCGTAGAAGTTACTCATGTCCTGCAAACAGAATCCAGTCGGCATACAAAAGTCTGAATAAAAATAACTTTATTGAAAAGAAAAACTCGATTTCAGTGCCAACACAACTTCACCTGTGTGTCTCATTAACTCATTAAAAGCAGCAAGCAGCAATCTCAACCATTTGATTGAGTAATGTTGGAGTACAGAACATAACTCAGAGGAAACCACATTTGTTATACATCCATGTCCGACACACAAATAGAAACTGACGGGACTAGTGGAGTAACATCTGTTGACAGCTGGATTCAATGATGATCTACTCACAGGTACCAAGTCCTTCACCACATACATATGTGGCAGGGGGTAAATCTTGGATGGCTTGCTGATGTTGGTGTCAATCTTGTTGAGACAGGCAAGAGTGTTTCCTCCATTAATGTTCATTGCACAGGATCCACAAATACCTGCGTTAAAGAAAAATAAAAGCTTTTAATACAATTTCTGAGACAATCTTAACAAAAACACTTTTTATAGCACAAGCCTCAAAATGAGTAATTTATTACTGTCGCGTAATAACAGATATTTTTTGAAGTAAATAAATTTAGAAGTGTAATTTTGCCACGGCACTGACCTGTAGTCGAAATAAACAACAACAAATCACAGGAAATTCAATTACAGAGCAAATTTCCTTAAATAAACAAGTCTGAAGTTGATAATTATTCTGGTAACACACTCCAGCCTCCACGTTACTGACCTTCTCTGCAGGAGCGGCGGAAGGTCAGAGTGGGGTCCATCTCATTTTTGATCTTGATCAGGGCATCAAGAACCATCGGGCCACAGCTATAAGACAAAGACACCACATGGTGAGTCCAGAAGGTCAAGACACGAACGTGTAAAAGGGGTTTGACTTGTCCAAAGAAACTCCTGACAGGTTTTATGGCTATAGAGCACTTTGTGGACTCTTTTTGGCTGCGGTGCCATGTTGACAGAAGTGAGTTTAGAGCGTCTCCAAGCTGATCACATGAAGTATGCCAGGCTGTCAGATCCACCCGAGTTAAATCTACCTGAAGGCTGTTCTCGGTTCGTTAATAATGCCCTCTGTTTACACGTGCTTGGGTACCGCTTTGAACTTCACTAAGCAATAAGCCTCCTTCAGTGCAAGTGAGCATGATCAGCTAATGGCAGCGCAATTAACAAGGGTCATATTCTCCAGTATACACAGAGATAAGCAGAGATTGGACTTGAATGTTAATGCTTAACCTGATAAAGTCCTCAATATTCAATGGCCACAGACAATCATTGTTTCTGACTGGTTGCCAGGCGTCCAGTCATTTTAAATTCAACCTCCCTTTTTTATTAAATAAGTGGACATGGAATAAATACAAAATAAAGGATTCAGCTTCCACCTCACCCATCACTTCTGGATTTCAGGACACTTTGTTGTGTGTTTAAGTAGCTAATGAGTGAGGACACAGACTGACGCACTGCAGCACAACCTGGGCGTCCTCGTGGCAGAGGGAAGAGCTGTAACACCTACGTATTAAGGTCGATGTCGTAGGTCTGCATGCGGGGTTTGTCCCCGGGAGTGTCTGGGTCCCATCTGTACACCTGGAACTTCTTTATTCTGGGCTGTGCTGCTGGAGCCGCTGCCGTTTGGGCATACCGCACCGCCTGACAGCAGGGACAACGGGGGGAGAGACGGGATTAGTTTGGCACTGAACAGAGACACTTTGGCTGTGAAAAGTATAAGATAAGATATTCTGTATATGTCCGTACAGTTAGATGATGAATTGACATTAAGAGTGATAACATTTCTTTCAATCTTTCTTTGTTTCTTTCACTTTTTGTTCCATTGTCTGTCAGACTGGGATAAATTATTCACTCTAATATTAATTTCTGTGCTCATAATCTTAAAAAACTAAACAAAAACCAGGATGCATTGACAATATCCATCACTGGTAATCTAAATAAACATTGCAGTGACATGATTTCCATTACAAGACTCTACTATTACACAAGATTTAAATGTCTGATCGTTTGTTTTGGCTGTATTTCATAATTAAAGATGTAAAAGACTGCTTTATCAACATTATACTATAATTATCTGGTCATTGTTTACAAGTTTCTTTCACTCATTACGTTGGATGTTTACATGTATTTGTATCGCCTACATTTAAAGCTAAACACACATCAATCATAAACTAAAAACCAATACGTTTTTTAAAAAAGTTATTTTGAAATTTTTACTAAAGTTGACAGTTGGAGCTAGATGGCTAGTGGCTAATAGCTGAACCACACAAGCGGGAGTCCAGAACATAGACGGAGCCCTCCGCTGTCAACAGGCACCGGTCTGAGCGGCAACGTTTCTCCGAGCACGGCGACAGAAGCTGTAACTGACATTAACGGTCGCAACGGTCGCAACGGTTCACTCATTTCTAACGCCTGTCAACGTACCACGAGTCCTGCGGAGGAGCGGGACGTGAGAACAACACAGCGGCTCAAGGACGAGACACCAGCGGCCGACATTTTGGAGTTCCTCTGACCTCCACCGCCTGCTATCCCAGCATCCACTGCGGCGGCGTCAGCGCTCTGGTGGGAGCGCGTGCTTTGTTAACTGACGCCTCCCGGCTTTAAACACACACAAGATGAGACGGTTTTTTTTTTAATTTATTTTTTTGTAACAATTTAGTTCTGCTTTTTGTTGTTTTTTTTTGCCTATAGTATTTAATGGTTATTAATTAATTAATTAATTTTATTTATTTTTCTTAATTTATTTCGGCGGAGTAGAGTGACATGCGCACACCAGACGGCCGGGTTTTAAAACCGAGCGACCTCCAGTTCGCCTGTCAGCCGCGGTACAGCGTGTGGGATTGACCTCGCGTAACATCCAGCCTCTGTACAGGTGGAGCCGGGCTCACTTCACCTAATCCAGCGTTTCCACTCATTTAGGGAGGATTGTGGTGCACTAAATCCACTCGGAGAACAGACATGGTCTTCCTGACGTTGTCCTGCTGGATCAGAAGCCGTGGACCCGACAGATACTGGAAAGTTCAAGAGCTCCTCAAACATGCACGGGTAAGGGCTACGACTACTTCCTGGACGAGAATAGGGTACAATGTTGTGATGTTATTTTTTGTATTTTTTTTTTTTTAATCCTGCTATTTGCTGCTCGATCCGGTTAGAAAGCCGCCTCGTCATCCTAATCTAACATTAACAGCAGTAATGATGGTCATTGTGTTTCACGTCGTCTCCTTGCTGTCTGTTCCTGCACCAGCACTTCAGAGGCAGAAAGAACCGCTGCTACAGTCTGGCTGTGAAGGCGGTCAGGAGAGCTTTCGTCTACGCCACTAAAGCCAGGAGACTCAAGAAACGCAACATGAGAACGGTAAGAGACTAATGCACATTACCTCCACAACGACAAACACAGGGTGTGTGTATATAGATAGATAGATAGATAATCTACTGAGATTTAATTTGTAATATCAGAAATATAGCTGCTGACTGTTGTGTAATCCAGACTACCTTCATCACAACAGAGACAAGTGTGGAAATTCAGTGTCTTTGTGAATGATTTTTGAGGGGGATTGTATTTTATTGTGCCGATTTGATTTACTTTATTTCACCAGGATAATCCACTCAGTATCAATACTGCTTTGTAACGAGTCCTAGTACAACAAAAACACATCACAGAGTAGTAACAGTCTGCTGATCTAGTGCCCCAAGAGGAATCTGAACACAGTCACAAGATGTTTGACCTTCCTCCAATTTCTGTGTTATTCTTGTAAAATACTGGATATTTTCATTCAGTCATATCCACACTGTGACTAGTGATCACACATAGACATCGGTGCAGTTCAGGGAGCCAGAAAGGTTGGAAACCACTGCTCCAGTCTGTATTTCCACTACAGTATGTGAATGTATAATTGTAAACCAGAACTTGAGCAAGGTTATCAATATAATTTATTGTTGTGCTTTTACTTCGTCAGCTCTGGATCACACGTATCGCAGCAGCGACACGAGAGCACGGCATGAAGTACCCCGCCCTAATGCACAACCTCACCAAGGTTAGTTGTGTTGGATGTGACAGTACTGTATCACTCCTCTACGCTCTGTGTGCTGTTCGTTCACTCTCTGTATCTAACACATTTCCTCTCTTCCCTCCATACAGAGCAGCGTTCATCTCAACCGCCGTGTTATCAGTGATCTGGCCGTCACAGAACCTCGGACGTTCCTCTCCCTCGCGAAGCTGGCGAGAGCTCGGCAACAGGAAGGCTTCCGGGTGGCGTTGGGTGACGGCAAAGAGCCGGCTGGTGTCTTCTCCCGTGTTGTTTTGCTCCAGTAAAGGACTTGGCACAGTTACAGATTTCCAGTTGTTATGTGGTTTAAAGGACAGTGGTCTTGGATTGTGGATTGTGCTTCACAATTGTCGCTTACTCTAGTTATTTTTCAAATAAGATAAATTTAGTTAAATGATTTAGTTTATTTTTCTGATATTTGATCACTACACCAGGGTTGCCTCATGCTTAAGACCCACATAAATGACCCTGTTAGACAGTAGGGTCTCCGTATGTTATGTGGGTTGCTTTGTGAAAAAGTGTTGACTCATGGCGAGGAATTACTTGGACTGCCGGGCCCGTGTCTGTTACCGGCACCAAACAAATGGACCTGGGTATATAATGGAGTCTCACATGGGTTAGCCCCACACTGGTCTTCAGTGCCAAAGAGAAATGTTCCTTGTTAGGAGGATTTTAAACAGAGCAATGTCTCTGAAGAGGAAAGGGATGTAACACCTTACTCAAGGACACTCCAGCAGGACAGATGATTTCTCTTGCAGGACCTTGATCCCCGACCTTGAAGGACCGTTTCTCTACTCACTGTTACCCTGAACCCACATAAATATAACTAATTTATGAGTTTTTCTGCCAATGCTGACAACAGGCAACTCTTAAATGCTGTGGTAAATTCTGACCCATTTCAGGTATATTTGCACTCTTAAGTCATCACAAAGACATAATCTTAATCCAAGATGGCAGCTGACATTAAACAGCATAGCAATTGTTAGTCCACAGACCTGCTTCAGCTCCATTCACTGTTTTCAACCCAACGTCTTTGTCGTGTGCCAGAGATATCTGGCTGCTGTGTTGTGTTAAGTACTCAACCACAGCCCTCCTGATTACCTCCAGTATCATGATAGAGGATGTGATTATCAGTGTCCTTAAATGTCCCTCTGTACATCATATGCAACCTTTTGATAACTTATGATTTGATGCTGTTGAATTATGGGTTTTGTTGGGGGGTTGGGAAGAAGAAGAAATGACCTCAAACTTTATCATGTAACGATTTTTGTCTGTGTGTGAATATATATTTGATCCTCTGTTCTCTCAATGTTAAGTTCATTAAACATTTTGATATATATATATTGCTGTCGTGTCTTATTTTAAGGATGTGATCTGGAGAATATTTTATTAGACTAGTAGTTTGTAGCTTTCATGTCGACTGCTTTGTCTCTATAAATGCACAGTATCACAACATGAATGAATGAAATCAAACAGTGGTATTTGACGCAGGTTTGTAGTCTAAGCGTTCCTCCAGCCTTTCCTTTCACACAGAGGACAGATCACAGCAACCCAACCTTTGACTTACAAAACCAGACACAGCCTGATGCAACCGAAGAGTTCTTGTGAACTCTATGCATTTTGGCCCTCTGCGGCCACCGTATCGATTTTGGGTGGGACTACACGAATGACCTCTACCGAAGACAGCTGCAGGGACAGCCAATGAGCAGAAGAAGTACTTTTTATCCGCCAATCCTCGTTACTCTTATTCAGGCTCTCTGTTGCGCATGCGCAGAACATTGCGGCGTGACACGCGTGTGGAGGAAGTGCAGTGACAAGTCTGTAGCAGCTGCTGCCTCTGTCACTCCTCACGGAACCGGCCAAACTCTACTTTATCCGCACTCGTCCAACATGTCGTGGCTGTTCGGCCTGAACAAGGGGCAGCCTGAAGGCCCTCCCGGTCTCCCGGTTCAGCCTCCACCGCCGCCGCCGCCGGCCGGAGGCTCCAGCGGCGGCGGAGATAAACCCAAGGACAAATGGAGCAACTTCGATCCCACCGGGCTGGAGCGGGCTGCTCAGGCGGCCAAGGACCTCGACAAGTCCCGTAAGTGCGGAGCGGAGGTTTATGACAGAGTAGCAACATGACTGAAGTGACACACCGAGAGTCCGCATGCGGATCCAGCTCCTCTCTGCTCCATGGTGCGGGTCGCTGCAGTGATACAGCAGCTCCATAAGGCCCACACTCACAGCCAGGATCTGTACATGTGATAGTATGATAATATCATGTGATCTTTGAGGTATTGTTGCTTTTAAGAGAGCAACGCTGCTCTGCTCCCTCTTTCATTCAAACTAGTAGACTGGGTTCAAAGGTCATCACCTTGAGCTTTGGGTTGCAACACCCAAAGCTCACCCGTGCCACACACATGCAGCGGCTCATCAGTGGTTTCTATCTTGTTCTGTGCTCGTGATTTCATCTACCGCTGTGTTTTAAAGTGAGTGGAGGAATGTGGAGACCTGTCAGACCAACAGGTGACATTGCTTTCTGAAACCTTTCGTCTGTTTCTCTCTCCTCATCCAGGACATGCCAAAGAAGCTCTGGACTTGGCTCGAATGCACGAGCAGACCACTCAGATGGAGCATCAGAGCAAAGTGAAGGTACAGTGGAAAACACACATAATGGACTCCCGCTTCTCTCTTCATCTGCTGCAGCAGGTTCATTTTGCTGGCGCTAGTTTACATCAGCTAAAGAATATGTTAATATTTATATAGTTATTAGTTATGTTAATAATCATGTGACGCTTAATGATGCTGAGTGGATAACAGTTTATAATGCAAGAGTTGAACATTGTAGAGAAATGCATTATATAATTCTTTTTATATAATTAAGTATTCATTTGGTTGAGCAGGTGCAGAATTACATTTCTAGGTTGTCACGTATAAATAAAATGTTAATTTCCATCTCCACTTCAGATCTGTCAGTTTGTCACATATTACTACCTCTACTGTAGCCCCTTGTGTTTCTACTTCAGTACCTTTTTGAGGACTCATACAGTTGCAGTGGATTTAAATGTCCACCAATGTGTTGCTTGGGTGTGACAGACTTTAAGCATCCTTCTCTGTGTCCCTGTAACAGGAGTACGAAGCAGCACTTGAGCAGCTGAAAGGCGACCAGATGCGAATCCAGGGTGAAGAGAGGAGGAAAACTCTGAATGAGGAGACCAAGCAGCATCAAGCGGTGAGAACAGAAAAGCTTTGTCCTTCTCTTTTAGTATTTTAAAGTTTAAAAAAAACAAGTACATTGCAGCTGTGAAGTAGATTCATTTGAATTGTATGGTTACAGTTGGTGGCTTTCTGTCCCATTACAGAGAGCTCAGTATCAAGATAAACTGGCCAGACAGCGATATGAGGACCAACTACGGCAACAGGTGAGGTCATCTCCTACATCTTTAGTTTATAAGTCTTTAAAATGAGCTTTTTTACCAAAAAAAAAAAAATTTCTCCACAGCAAGCCCTGAATGAGGAGAACCTTCGCAAACAGGAGGAGTCTGTCCAGAAACAGGAGTCCATGAGGAAAGGTATACCCTCACCGGTGTGACACTAATGACGGGATTGTGTAGAAGCTTGTTGAGCGGCGCTTTTATATACTTGTGTTACGGTTTTTATAGCGACGATAGAGCACGAGATGGAGCTGAGGCACAAGAACGAGCTTCTGCGTATCGAGGCCGAGTCTAAAGCGCGAGCCCGCGTGGAGAGGGAGAACGCTGATATAATCCGCGAGCAGATCCGTCTGAAGGCTGCAGAACACAGACAAACTGTCCTGGAGTCCATAAAGTAAGATTTAACACTGTAGTTCTAATGATGGTGAGGATTTAAATGAATTGTATTAATGGTTCTTGGTGTCCTGAATCATGCAAGTTGAACATCAGTATATATATAATGGGAATGGGCAGTTTTATTTGTCCAGTAATCAGCAGTTGTATCCTGTAAACACCCTAAAGGCAGTCTTGACCGTTAACTGATATTTGCTTTTAGGACTGCAGGTACTGTGTTTGGAGAAGGATTCAGGGCCTTTGTGTCAGACTGGGACAAAGTCACAGCCACGGTGAGACACGTGTTTTCATCCACAATCAGTTCAGTGAATGATTTATACTAAAAATACACAATAAAAGCTGAATTTCACTGACTGGGAAGATTGACTGGGTAAAATCTCCTCTACAAAATAAAGGTTAGTTAGGTATAAAAGTGCCAACAAATCACATCTGATATACAGATTAAGCCTGTCTATTTATAAAGATCCTTCCATTAATAATGCTGTTAAATACAAGTAACAACATAACAAGGACAGGACAGTAAAACTTACAGTAAACCTCATTCTAAGTTTCACGTAGCTCACACAACAAAGTCTGTCCTCCTCTGGAGTGGCGTTGAACCTACGTTAATGTTGTGTAACTGTTCCATCATCAGGTGGCAGGTCTGACCCTTTTAGCTGTGGGAGTTTATTCGGCCCGAAATGCAACAGCGGTGGCGGGACGATACATCGAGGCCAGGCTCGGGAAGCCGTCACTGGTGCGGGAAACGTCTCGATTCACTGTGGGAGAGGCCATCAAGCATCCAGTCAAGGTAGCTAATTAGCAATTGATCCTTCGCTCATTTAATTAACTGAAGATTATAATATGCTAATTAAACTTTATCTTAACTATTCAGACGGCCAAACGTCTGAAGAGCAAACCTCAGGATGCCCTGGAGGGAGTTGTTCTCAGTGTAAGTGGACATCAAAGGTTCAGACTACAATGGTATAATCATTACATCCTTTTGTAAAGTTTTGCAACCACTTGATATGAATGCATTTCTATATCTCTTAGCCTTCCCTGGAAGAGCGTGTGCGCGACATCGCCATAGCAACAAGAAACACGAGGCAGAACAACGGCCTGTACAGGAACATCCTCATGTACGGCCCTCCAGGCACGGGCAAAACTCTGTTTGCTAAGGTATACCCGAGGACTGAATGACGTGAACATTTACATGTGTGGAAACTGACACTGTGTCTGACTGGCTTTTCTTTTCTTTTTGTACCGAGCAGAAGCTGGCAGTGCATTCTGGGATGGACTACGCGATTATGACTGGTGGTGATGTGGCACCAATGGGTCGCGATGGTGTGACAGCCATGCACAAAGTGTTTGACTGGGCTGGCACAAGTCGACGCGGGTAAGGCTACTTCATATTATATTACTGTCATTATATACTGTCCACTCCAGATTTATTATCAACAGATGGAGGCTTTCATGTGTTTTTATCACATTACAGACTTCTGCTTTTTGTTGATGAAGCTGATGCATTCCTTCGCAAGAGATCCACTGTAAGTCTGCATATATTTTATTCCGCAGAAACCTGACATGTTTTTGTTACAAAATATATTTTCTTACCCTTTTAATTCTCCTGGTCTTTAACTAATATCAAATCTTTATTTTTATTTTTTTTATAGGAGAAGATCAGTGAAGATCTCAGAGCTACTTTGAATGCATTCTTGTATCGCACTGGAGAGCAGAGCAACAAGTAAACTATATTTATATTTGGGCTTTAACGTTAAATGTGTTGTTCTCTTCACTTCCTTTTGCCTTGCCGATAACGAGTTCCCAGCACGTTTCTAACCTGCTTGATTTCCCCCCCCCCTGCAGGTTCATGCTGGTGTTGGCCAGTAACCAACCAGAGCAGTTTGACTGGGCCATAAACGACCGTATAGATGAAATAGTGAATTTTGCTCTGCCGGGTCCTGAGGAGAGGGAGAGGCTGGTGCGGTTGTACTTCGACAAATATGTGCTGGAGCCCGCCACAGGAGGGAGGCAGTGAGTACAATCCCCACACAACAACACAGCTGTTAAAATAGCCACTGCACACCAGGAGGGCATCGTGAAACAAGTTATTTTGTAGTAATTAGGCTCAGTCCACCATGTCTGCTCGCTCACTGATCACATAGAGGTATTAATTCTGACTGATTTTGAGTCGTATATTATTCGATAAAGTGATCCTTGGCTAACGGGCTGTGTAGAAGAAGTACAGCCATGCTGAGGCAGCAATTACAGAGAGATCATATGTGTGAATGGGGCTGAAAGGTGACAATGAACTGGGCTCCAAAAACACAACAAAGTCAGACAGAAATTACATTCCTGACCAACAAAATAGTGGAGAAATAACTTATTTTGCCCCCCTCTAATCTGTGTTTGTGCAGGAGGATGAAGCTGGCACAGTTTGACTACGGTAAAAAGTGCTCTGAGATAGCGAAGCGGACAGACGGCATGTCAGGAAGAGAGATCTCTAAGCTGGGTGTGGCCTGGCAGGTAAGTTTCCCGTAATCATTGTCGATTAACGCTACGAGATTTTAATTTTTGTGGACTTCATGTTGTCTCGTGTTGTCTCGCAGGCGGCAGCATATTCCTCTGAAGATGGCGTCCTGACGGAGGCTATGATTGACGCTCGTGTTGATGACGCCGTCAAGCAGCACATTCAGAAGATGGACTGGCTGCATGGAGAGGAGGAGGCTCAGACCAAGACCCTCACACCTCCCCCAGTTGGGGCAGGCGGTCTAGGCAAAATGGGCTTTAATCTGCCCCTCAGTGAGGTACCTAAGGCCGAGGAGGTGATTGCACCGGTCCTTGAGACAAATACGAAACTAGAAGGTACACTACCTCCTTCAGACATCGACCAATCAGGAGAAGGCATAAGTGCCACACCAACTGGACAGCACTGTGAAGATGCTGTTAAAGCAGAAGCTGCAACAACAGCAGAGAGTTTAGTCGAACCTACTGCCTCCACTGACATTGAGGGCAAGGTGGAAAAGGAAGACAAAAGTGGATCTTCTCCTCCAAAGGATGGAACTCCAGTTTGAGCAATAGATTTCAGTGGGACAGCCTGGATTATGAGGAGTAGTGTCCTGCCATTTCAACTAGTCTGTCAGGTTATGTCCAAGAGTCTGTTGGACCGTCTGCGACAGAAGATGAGTTCAGCAGGTTGGAGGTGATAGTCGATAAACAAAACACAAATGAGCGAAAGGCTTTCATTCTAATATTATATAATGTATAGCTCGTAAAAGTGTACTTTGAATGCAAACCAGACTGTCTGTAATAACAATATATAAATGTTGTGCACTGTGGAGTGTCTGTTGAAATGATTAAATGGATCTGTTTTTTATAAACAGTAAAAGTTCTGCTGCTTCTTAACAACCTGTTGGGGTATTGTCGCTATATGATATTACATTACCCTTTAGCTTGGATTACAGTTAAAACACAAGGATACATTCACACTGAAAGCCTTAGCTCTCAATTCAGATTTTTTTGTTGGGTTGTTCACATTATTTTTTTTAATATATCAGATTCCAGTGTGAACAGGTCACATGGTGCATGATGAATCTCAATCAAGGGCGAGGTAAAAGTCACATGCATTCTGATATGAAAATGAGACCTGTATCTGATTTAGACGATGTATGAAAGTGGCCAGAATTAGAATTTTAAAAAATCAGACTCATGTGATATCTGCTGTTCACACTGTAAGGGAAAAAAACAGATCTGAGTCACATGAGCAGATTTGGGTTACTTTGACATGCAGCGGAAAAGGTAGTTGAGTTAAAAGGTCTTTCAGAAAGCTACATTTTGAACAATGAGTGGCAAAACATAATGTCCAACTCAAACTCTTTATCAAATGCTGATGCGCTGTTTGGAGAGACCTGACCTTGCAATGACATTGTCAAGCATTATAAATGTATACAGTATATGGTTTTAGCAACACGGTACATAATGGCAGAGGAGCGAGCAGAGAGGGGCGGTTATGATTGGATGAGGCAGCCACGGCGTCCTATAGGATTACACGTGGGATTTCAATATTTCACAGTAATGGCTGCAAGCTTCAGGAAGCTGCAAAGTCAAGGGCAAGAAGCTGTCCTTGGTTTGTAATAGGCCACATGATAAAACTCCCTGTCAGACATTATAGAACACCCTCATGTACTCTGATTTACAGGATCGCATAAATAACCAAACCATATGGTAAGCCCGAATCAGAAAGGGAAGGGCTATTTATGATGAAGGGGAACTATTCAACTCAGCTTGATTACCAAAAACATTCACTGAAAAGCAATGAATTAAAAGACGCCATACTCCTTTAATGACAGACCTGAATGTGATATGAACCTATGACGTGTGCTCACAACCCTGCAAAAAGATCACCTCACTTGAAAATGATCCTCTGTAGAGTTTACTCCTTCAAGGGAATCTCACTGATTTCTAACATCAAGGTCTGTTTACAGGTCTTGGGGAGTACTACTGCATGTTTCAAAAACTGGAATAAAGCCTTTTATAGCTCCAGAGGGAGCTGCACTGATTAACTGCCTCAAGTATACACACACGTAGATACTGCATTAGCCTCTGCTGCTCATTGCACTGATATATTTGACACATTCAAATCCATAATCCACAATTAAAATAACCTCACTGGCTGAATTTTCAACCAATTTTCCAGCAATTTGGTCCAGCAATGACACACATGTATTTATGATACTGAATATTTTATTCATAATCAAGACTTAATCTTTTTAAAAAAGACATCATTTGAACAAACATTTTAGTTAAAAGATCAAGTAAATTTCTGGAAGGCTTCACAATTCAATTTTATCACATTTAAAGTGAAATATTCATATTTTTCTCATTTACATTTTAAATTCACACATTATGTACAAAAACTATACATACAGTATATCAGCAAGAAGATAAAAAAATATTAAAAAACACTATTTTGAAGGAGGACCATCAGGCACATGGGAGCCTGGACGTCCTGATGTTGCATAAATGCCTGTTCATTATCACACACAGTACTTTATTTCTTTTTAAATTTATATTTTATTTGGAAAAGGCAGTATCATGACTCACACACAGTACTTTAACACCTTGCTCATGTAGTGCCTCTAAGGCCTGCTGCAGCAAAGCATTCTGAATGTCTGGTTTCAATGTCTGAATCAAAAAGGAAGCAAAAGGCGTCTTCCAGTGGCCTTGCAGTCCAACAACCACAAACACAAAACATTCACCGGCCACATCGCTCTCATCAACGCCATCTCCTGAGATCCACAAAGCCGGGTATTGTGTATGTGTGAGGGTCATCCTGAACTCACTCCTGATGTTCTGATATCCTCTATTCTGTTTGCAGAGTGTGAGGATGTGGGAGTGGAACCATCACTGGGTTTTTCTTTCAAGTACTTCTAGGTTTTAGAACCATGCAAACGAAGTGTTAAAGCAAATTCCCTCTGAGCAGGAGTGAAGGCGTGGTGCTGCTTGAAGAGTTAAACTGGATGATCTGAAAAGTTTGGAAAAACAAGCGATACATTAATGAAGATACCAGGACAAGATATGACATATTACAGAACAACCACTAGATTACGTGTCTGTAATTAACATATTTGGTTTGAAAGTAATGTTACAGCAAATTGAATGCTGGACACTAATTAATTAGAAAGTATTAAATGAAATGATGTAGATGGCTGCTCAATAAGGTTGATTTCTAAGAGAACTTATACATTTTACACATGCTTTATGTGTTATGGAAGGATCTGTGTAATTCAACCAACCCGAGTATAAGTCCAGCTCCTGCTGCAGTTCCGCTGTCGGCATATTTTTATGCTTTAAGTCCTTTAGTAGAGATTTCACTATCCTCTTGTGCCTCCTTTCCCGATCCTTGGCGTTTCTTAAGTCCCGTTGCAAGTCCTCCACCCTCTGCTGAGCCTCGGTTAACTTTCTTTTTATGTTAACTGGGTCAAGGGCATACTGATGATCCTGAAAAGTATTCATTTCAACTTAAAATGATTCTCCTCACTTTATAAATTACACTATAAAATAAGTCCAGCATTCTTCAAAAGGTGCTTAAAACAACAATACTTTCACTCACTGAGGTGGACTCCTCAGATTGACCCTCTGACAGCTGAACGTGACCATCTGGACTTTGCGCAGCAGCTTTTTGCGAGGTCCTGCTCGACCCGGGTTCACTGGGCACCTGGAGATTAATTTCTGCAGCAGCCTTTTGCGAGGTCCTGCTCGACCTGGGTTTACTGGGCACCTGGAAATAAAGAAAGGTCAGCAAGTACAATTTCAATTTATTTGTATTGATAAGTTTAACAGGCAATTTGCCAATGACACTAACCTTTCGAAGACGGTCAGAAAATATAAAAACTGATGGGATCACTCCTTCCTTTAAACGAGTTGTCTGTCCTGTCATGTCAAAGTCTTCTGTCTTGAAATGACAGCTGCAGATGACTGAGCGGTCATTTGGCTCAAAGTCTCTTCTCCTCAGTGCTGCTTTCCATGCCTTTCTTTTAACTTTATCTTTTGGGAACCTTGACACAAAACAACAACACATCCATCTGAAAAACACTATAAAACACTTTAAAGTATGTCTTTTAGGACGACGTTACACAATAACACATTAATATAGCATCTTATTGGTATTTTGACTTACTTTAATAAAACTGTTCATCTTACTAACAGGGCAGTCACTTTATAGATACATTTATTTATGACACAAGCTACTGTTTAAGTTTTCATACCAAAATATACATGTATATTATTTTTTCTTACTGCATTGAAAACTGTCTGCCATGATATAATTTGTTACTGAAAACTTCTAACAACAAACACTAAAGTTAAAAGGTTAATTACATTTCCGGCAGCCTTCAAAACAGTGCTTTTAATTACAGTCTTCACATTTTGCTATTTACATTTTAAGTCCCACATTAAACACAGAATATAGTTATATCCAGTGTATCAGCAGTGTAACGGTGACTTGGGGCTGCATGTTTATAGAGAGGTAAACAATACACAATTAACTCTGTGATGACTGACAAATATAAATATCAGTATCTTACTGATATATCACGTTAATAACAATGTTAACGGGGCACGGACTGTAATTATTATGAATCCGTATAACTTATATGGATTTGTAAACCGAGAGGCTTTCCTTTCTCAGTCGTACGTTCATATAAATAAAATAGTGTAGAATAACTTCAGCCCTGTGAAAGGTTATCCCCTGTTGTATTGTATTCTTGGTTCTGGCACTTCTCTGATGGGAACCTCCACCAGCAGCACAACACTGAGGCATTTTCTCCCACTACTGCTCATATTACACTGACCACCACCACCCCGCCGCAACATGGCGGCGACAGAGACGCGTCTGACACAACCGGGGAGTGATTTCACTTTATGCATCTTAAAATAATGTCACAGCAGTCACAGAGGCAACTGTACGCGGACTGCTCACCTGTGAAATGTTATCCCCTGCTCTTTGGTTCTGGCACTTCTCTGATGGGAACATCCAACGGCAGCGCAACAGTCGGGCATTTCTGCCAACGGACAACAACGGCGCTGCAATATGGCGACGGCGCCGACGCGTCTCACAAACCGGATGTGGTAGCTTCACATCCGGAACTGTTTAATGCTTTATTTACCTTTCTCTCTCTCCTTTATTCACAGGATAGTAATACAACAACATAAATAACAGTGTAAAGAAAAAATAGATAATAATCACAGAAACAAAACAAGCTTAAAAACAATTTGAATTGTAACATGAAAAAAAGATAAATAACACTCTAAAATAAAGAGAGAACAAATACAAATAAATAAAAAAGTAGACAATTTAAAAAAGCGAATGAGCAAACTTGCAACGATATTTCTCAAAATATTAAATATCTTTAAAAGCTCTAAAAAAACAAACAGAATCATCGAATTAAAGTTCAACATAAACATGATTTTGTTGGGAAGAAACGAAAGAAACCTGCCTTTGTGAATATGATGTTTGCCCAAAAGACACAGAAAGTCTCAATTTACATTTACCCATGGTATATATCTATTATTGTTTATTGCATCACAGTTTTACAATAATTTAAAAAAAACAAAACACATCTGAATCTAATGCAAGGAAGTTCATTTAAGATATGTATTTTACATATTGCAGCTGTTTTAATCTCATGTACTCATGATTTCTGTTATATTCTGCTGCACTGATTTTCTGTGAGTCCAACAGAAACCTATCACAGGAGTGCAATAGGTGGAGTGCACATTATTTTGAAGGCTTCTGCAAGGTCTGGCCCCATCTCTTGTCATTTATCTATTTTGATCACAAAATAGATAAATGACTAAGGACGTTCAAAAAATGCAAAAAATGACTAAGTTGGTTACATCATTATTATTTTTTATGTATTAATTTTTCAGATAGGGTGACCATAAAATCGCAACATCCCTGGTTTGAGTCCAGCCAGAGTCCTTTGTTGTCTAAATGGCCATAAAATAATGCGACTAAATAGTCGTATTTGGACTCTTTAGGTTATTGAACAGAACACAAAACACACACAGTAACTGTTGAATTGTATCCACACTTTTATCTCTGAGAGTCAAATGCTGCCGTTAACATTGTGGTACACATTGCGTCTCATGTGCATCATAATCCCCCCTGGAGTCCTCCGTGTGTTCTGGTCCTGGATGTAACTGGACCGCTGAATTTGGGTATCCGGGACCAGAAACCCACATCTGGAAAAGAAAGACAGGCAAACTGGGCTGGTGAAAGGGTCTTAAATGTGTGTTGTGTTTGTAAGTGTCTGTAAGGAAGAGGGGTACGGTCATTTTGTGGCATTAAACAGGAGGAAGTGAAACATCTGAATAGTAAGAGGAAGGAAAAGAAGGAAAAACTTTTCTTAAGACTCTATTCTGTAATTGATGACTTAACACCGGATTGGGTGTGAAGCATTTACAGCCTGTGTTTGTCTTCTTTATCATTATTACACCCACATTTTTCAACATAGAACTCTTATTCACATGTTTCATACTTTAGAATAATAATAATCATCCTTTTCTGGCAGTTTTTCTCCATTCAAACAATTGGACAGAAAGTTAAAAAATAGAAAATATTTCATGCATTTTAAATTCTTATCTACTCATTCATATTTTCATCTAAAAAACTTGATTCAAACTTTCAAATGTTCCACATCTTCAAGACATTTTAGGTATTATTTAAACTTTAAATTAAAACCTTTCAAGATATTGATCTTTCTTTGAAGCGGTTACTGTGGAAGTCAAATAGAAAACCTTTCAAACCCACTTCAACCAGATTAAACTTCTCCCCACTCGTTCATATATTCACATAGAAACTGTATTCACACTTTCAAACAGGCACAACACTTAATTTCATATCTTTCATACTTTTTACAGTCATGCAGTTCAAAATGTATGTCATTTTCAGCCCTTCTGTGATTTTATATTATTGTTTTTAGGGCAGAATGTTCAGAACTAATGTTAGACACTAAAAATCTTAAAAATAAAACTTATTCTCATTCCCACAATTTTCCCTCCACATACAAAAGTTTTAAATCAAAACATCTGACATTTTTTGCCAGTCGCAGACATACTACAGAAACTAACTACAGAAGCAAACAGACAAACACTTTTATTATCTTCTAAGGGACAGGAGCACCATATTTTTAATATATGCTATATTTTGCATTATTCACCCCTTTCACACTTTTCCAAGTATTCAAACTCCTTTCTACACTTTGTCCACTCTTATCTTAAGTTTTGGGGGTTACGGTTATGTAAAACTATGTTGGTAACGTTCTCTTCTTTATGTGCTCCTTTAAATAATGAAAAAAAATATAATAAAACTTTCACTCACAAGAATGCTGAAGCTTAAATATATAAACGTACCATATATAGTATAATTACTGCGCGGGGCCTTTCCTGAACGCTCAGCTTTTCCCACATTCAAGTTTGATTTCAGCTGTCCTCTTACTCACCGTTCATTTGGTCCGTCCTCCAGATTTTGAATCCTGGAAACCAAACTCTATTCAGCCACAGCAAGACATAGCTGATGCAGATACCCAAGAACAGTCCAACTATCACGTCCGTCTTCTGCTGGGTCAAGATGTCACTTAAAAAATTGCTTTCTCTGGAAACCTCCATGGACTGGACCTCGTTATACGGAACGACATGATGGACTTGATGCCTGCAGCACACAGAGCAGCAGCCGGTGGTGAGAGAAGAGACAATCTGATCACACTGAAGACAATAAGGATGATAGCTGGTGACAAAATCTGATATCTTCACACCCCTGTTGGACAATACCAGTTTACTAAAATGCATTTGTATAATAGTCTTATAAGAAACACAGTTTGTGGTTTTTCTGTGAAAGTCAGAATTGTGTAATAATGCATTTTTTTTTTGCAGTTTTATTCAGATTATAGAGACTTTTTACATGTGTTTTATGGTGGAAGAATTATCTTGACCCATACTAACACATAGTCTTTCATCTTACCCAGGTTATCCCTTAGGAAATTGATCGGCAGAGGTGTTGAGCTACCCAGATCTTGACACATCTCGTCTCATAATGGAGTTAGTAAATGTAAGGCTAAACAAAACCCACAATAATTGATAACATGACAGCTTGAACTGAGTAAGTTCTCCTTCTACTCCTTCCCCCGGTGGTTAATGTTGTTTCCATTAAACGTTCACTATGATGTTATACCAGAGCTGGTCTTTATTTCAGAAGATGTAGCTCGCCTCTTCTATAAAACACTGAGTGAGACTGTATTAAAGCTGACAGCAGATAGCTGTCATTGCTGATATGTTGGTGCAGCTCTGAATAAAGGTTTACAATCACATTGCCACAGTGCATCACCAGCAGCTGACCTGTGTGACCTGCTGCACACACACCACCTTCAAGTCACAGTAAACCGAGAAGGGAAGCAGGTGTGGAGATCAGTCTGACTGGATACTCTGAGCTGAACATACCTACACAGGGTTTCAAGGTGAGATTCATATGTTTTTTTTTTACCTTCCACATGTGCAGGCGCAGACATGGTCCTCCCCTCGCACTAACTGTGAAATGAAGTAGTGGAAGCGATGAAAAAGCGCGTTCATGACCGGAAAACTCGTCTTCTGAAACAAAACAACACTTGAAGTAAGCTGAGACACTCACTGTAATATTTCCAAACACAACGGGACCGGAAAAACAGGTTTAAATCATGATTAAGTAGCGTAATTAGTACCTGATATGGATTTATTCCTTGACTGTCGGCGGGGTTTGACTCTCAGCTTACATATTAGCGCTCTCCAAGACAAAAGAGGGCTCCTGAGTCTCCCGGTATCTGTCCGTGCCTAACATCCGCTCGGTCCTGCCTTCTTCTGTCGGACGATAATGAGAACCAGTCGGTAAGTGATGTACCAGTGGGCTCCCCGGTCACCGGCAGTTTTAACAAACAACTGTTGTTTGTTTCATTACAACGACCGGAATAAGTTGTCATGGTAACTCTTAGTAACGGTAACGTTGGTCGTCACAATTCGAATTCCTTCTCATTTTAGTTGCATTTTTTTAAACTAACGGTCACCTAGGTAACGTTAGTTCGTCAAGGTGAGGTAATGCTTACTGTGAAGTAATCTAACGTTAGTTTATTAACGGTTACATGATAATACTTAGATAAGGTTATATTGCTTATTATATAAGCTTGCTAACTTTATTTATTTACGAGGTCCCCAACTACCTAACGGAAAGCTACATCTGGGCAGTGACGGATATATATATATGTATATACATAGTACATATATAAGTAATAATATATAGCTACATATAGTTATATAATATAATATACGTAGGCATATAACAGTATATAGGAATATATATACGCATGCGATATATATATATATACATATATATACATACATATACATATACATATATATAATATATACATATACATATATATATATACATATATATACATACATACACACACGTTAGATATAGGGTTAAATAGAGTAATTAGGACAGACTTCATTCTAAACCAATAACCTTTACTGGCAATGAGCTTCACCAGGTTTACAGCTTTATTTAACACACCTCAATCATAATGTACACAAGGTTTCTGTCAGTGAACCATGGAAGCTTAGGACAAGGTTTAAATACTTTATTCTTTACCCTGATTTTAACTTGTGTAAACATCTTAAGACAATCAACTTTGCTTGTCCTAAAATAGATCTGTAACATCTAAATCAAATGTGAGAGTAACCAGGTACTAATGTAACAATACCCAATTTCAATTTTACATTGGCTAATTCTCTTACATGAAACCATCGTAAACTAAATAATCACAGAGCAAATAAAGAGTCATAACATGTTTCTTAGAGATGTTTCTTTCTTTAGTGGATTCATATGTACATACAGAAAAATCAGGCACTCTGAGCTGAGCTCGCAGTTTGCAAATAATTACAATGCTTCAATTCTTTGACATTTACAAAAGAAAAGAAAAAAATACTATGCCCTGAAAAATAGCATATCCAAGTTTAAATATGAATCAACCCATTATATTGGAAACAGATTGGAGGAGATCCTCAGAGAGGACTAGGTTTGGTTATTCATTACTAGCTCACCCACTTTAACTTAATTCTAATCTACAACACATGGTCGCACAAAAACACGCGTTCAGTTCAAATAATTCTCCTCCACATTTACACTGTCCCAGATCAGGAATAAAAATCTGACATATATGCTTAAATGAATCACAAATATAATCTTGAAAAAAAGAAAAAAAAAGAAATCAGCATTAATATGCTGCACTGAACAAAATCAGAGGGACTTGTAAAGGAATTGTTGAATCAGGGGTGTGTGTTTGTGTTATGGCTCTCCCTGAGGAGACATGGTTGAGTGATTTCACTGGACTGGGATGGAGGGAGGACCTTGGCCTGACCTCGATCCGGGGAAATAAAGGCAGAGCGAGAGCAGCGAGTCCGTCCTCTGCATAGAGGAAAAACCCATCATCACCAATATGTCCAACAGCAGCCATTTGTTAGGTCCTGACCCAAAGCTCTGTGTGTGTCTGTGTGTAAGTGTAGGCACACAATGTGTATGTACTGTGTCGTAAATGACTGAGGAGTGTGCGCGCGCGTCCATATATTATTGTTTGACTGCTTGTGATCTGGGTCTGTGTTTATTGCAAATTTCTATTGTGTATCAGTAGAAACAGACGGTGTGAAGAAAAGGCCTGTTGCTCTTCTCCTCGAACTCTTGTAGGAGCTCATCGATTTCATTCTCCATGTCGTCAGTGTGCTGGATCTGCAGGGGTGGTGGAGGAAGCACATTAAACACAGCCTGTGCACACACACACAGCTCATTGTGTGACCTCAAGTGAATCTCTGTACACTATTAATCTATAGGTCACTTTATAGCATTGGGATCATTTTCATTAGGTGAACACTGAATCTCCACTCAAATATATTTAATGGTAAACTATATATACACACTTCAAAACCATTTTATTTATTGTTCAAGTATATAGGTAAACTGCATAATTAATTATAATTAAATTCAGTTGATTGTTGCTGCCCTCAGTTTGTCTGCACAACAGCAATTAAGAACCCTGGTAGGAGACACTCACACACTGACACAGCTCACAGATAAGGAAGGCGCCCAGCGTGGCTTCCTCGTGGTTATCCTGAATGTCTACATTGATGACGTGCACAGGCTGTAGAGTCTCCTGCTCTCTTGAATTCAGATCTGGGGAACAAAAGCACATGAAAGAGCCACACAGTCAGAGGTATAGAAAAAAGACTTGGTCTGCAACCAAATCATTGCAAGGTAGAAACTTGATTTATGTGTGCACACAAAAAGTATGAAAGCAGCCCCAAAAAGCTCTGAATGATCAACCATATCCCTTCAGTGATTAGACATTTCTTATGAGAAGCCTCACCCTCCAGCACTTGGTCATAGACTCTCTCTTCACAGGTGATGACCAGGTCAAACTTATCCTTGCAGTTTTGAAAGCGCTCCGGCTTTGATTTGATGCGCTTGTTGCGGTCCAGCATGTGCAGAATGCCGTTCTGTGTGTATCTGAAGAGTCGGGAGGTCAAGGAATACAGCAGGAGCGAGACAGATATTTCAAGGTAATACATCACACTATCAGAGACATGATGTCAAATCACCTGAACACTGAAAAATACCTGCCAACAACCAATAAGCCTGTGTGAAACCAAGATATTAATTTGTCTGAATGACAGTGTATAGCGTTTCCATTGTGGAGTGCACACTTGCATGGTGCCAGTCATTGTATTATACAAACTGTAGCACCCTCTAGTGGTGCCTGGGAAGCCTATCACTCAGTAGTGGTCTGTTGAAAAACAAAAGGTAAATGATCAGGGCAGTACTGTTAAAATGTTACATTTTTGACTGCGATTAATCCACAAGAGTTTTAATATAAATGTTATCAACGAGTTAAGGGCCACTTAAGGGCCACCTTGCAATACATTGTCAAATATATAAGTTTAAAAAGAGACCAACAACAATGGTAAATTGTCTTAGACTATATTTTTTAGAAATCCATGCAAGTTGCAAGAGTTTTATAAGAGGCAGCATGTACATCTTCTATTCATAATACATTGGAATTAACAGGGCAGCTACATTAGTTTGTAACACAGCACCTTTCATATGCAGGAATACAGAAATACAGATTTGACCTCTCAACCTACCGTGGGTTGGCAAAATTTACACCTGCAATACAGTAATATCATCAGCAATAGCACAATAGTAAGTAAAAATTTGGTGAAGCACATCTGTCCTACTTTTAAGATTTTCCCTGAAGAGGCCTATTTAACCAGAATAATTCAGTGACTTTTTTTTTTTTTTTTTAGACGTGGTGGAGGAATAGTCCTACATTAAGCCTAGTCTTTAATTTAACAATTAAATTATCTGAAAACAGATATATTACAGCAATAAAAGAAGCACAAGGGGGCAGATTAGACTATTAAATAACAGTGGAGACATGGATTATTTGAACTGAGAAGACCAGAAAGTACCACCAGCCAACACTTGACAGGGTCAATAACTGCAGTATTTATGAAATAAAAGTTATAGAAAGTTTTGTGTATGTGCAGTGGAGTATTTTGAGTTTGGAGGCTTGTGCATGTACAGTCTCACAAATAAGGAATAGCACAAGTGGTTGTAATTAATCTTTTGGCTGTCCTTGGGGCACTACAGTCAATATCTTTAATATCTATTCTATTCCTGGTTTAATGTAGGGAAAACTACCCTTGATTTTATTTAGTTTTATTTCTGTAAAATGCTGTTTTTTCCCCCCCAAGTTTAAGTGTTTATTACTGATGCATAAGCAATTCAGTTAGGAATTACAGCAATTAACTACAGGAGACAAGTGAGCCAGTTTAAGTTGAATACCAGAAGAAAAAAAAAAATATCCTGTCAAACTTGCAGGCGTTACTCACACTGCAAAAATATCTTGCAACAATGGGAGAAGATACATGGAATAGAGGGGAAACTGCACTAGCCAGAAACAACAGTGGTAACATGAAGACTTCCACACATACAGATGCTCAGCAATATAAGCTAGGGTCTTTAAAGTGAGTAAGGATTTAAATCTGATGGCCTCGGCAAAAACTTCACCAAATTGCACTTACTGTTTCACAGCTGTTGTATTGCACGGCATTTTTTCCCACCGCCCTATTTGATAGGTTTAATAACAAAAGCATTCATCTTTAACACATTTTAAAATCCCTGCATGTGATTTACCCATCGGTGCAGTTCCATCTGCTGTGCCGTTCAAACATCAAACTCCCACAAAGATTAAGATCTAAACAAGATACATGGACATGGGCTATGTTTACTTATCTGGCTTCCAGTATATAGAGTGTGTGTGTCTGTAAAAGTGTATGAGAATGGGATACAGTTCCTTGTCCTTGCGGACCAAGTCGTTGTACATCTGTACATAAGTTGTTTTGAAGTCATACACATTTGGCTTATCCGGGGCAGGACCGGGTAGCTTCACATGAGACCCCGTCCCAAATGAACGTACATCAAATCCACGTTTGCTGCAAAGACGAAAAGGACAAGACAGTAAATTACATACCATTTCACACATCACATACAAGCAGAATGCAATAACCAGTCTGTCCAAGTGCAAGGTACCCTGTGAAGTCAGCTTTTCACACCATCTCCTCACATACATCTGAACTGAATGTTTAATGTGGTTCTACTATATGTAAGAGGCTGAATTAAGACATCACTGCACACCGAGTGTAGGCCCATATCCGCTCGTCTCTCCACTGCTGCATCAGAATCAACCTAAAAACACATTACCTAAAAGAGCTTTTTTTTTTTTAATTTTAAAGGGGAATTTATTTTTATTAAAATTTCAGCTGACCAGAGATACAGGTGACTGTCACTGAGGCTATTGTTGGTCTGTAAATCCTTCTGTATTACACAGAGGTGAACAGCTTTCCAGTGAGAAAGAACAGCTACTAGGAAATGAGACCAAGTGAGAAATGTTTGGACAAT